TGCGTACACGTGTATGGTCATGTGTGGGTCATGCCCATGTGTGGGTGGGGCTGTTTTGTTCTCCTGTCCTCATGATGAAGCAGCACCGAGTGCCAGCCAGGACGTGGAGCGAAGACGCACAGCTTGACAGGCCGTCTGCCAACGATGGCCTTATTGAGGTGATTTGCTAGGTTGTGAGCAGGGCTGGGGCACAAGATCAGCACCGTGGAGAGACAGCAAGAGAGGGAAGGCAAGAGGCTGGGCAGGGATGGGGATCCAGGCAGACTGGGGCAGGAGGCTGGGATCTGTCCTCCTCCATCAGGCTATGGCCAGTTCCCTGAGAACCAAGGTCAAGGTCAAGGCTAAAACAGGAGCCACCCAGCACAGGCTCAGAGAAGGTCTCTTCCTACCACCCTGGGGGAAGCCACCTGGAAAGGTCTAGGACTCCCTGTTTTCCCTCACCAAGAGTTCCGCACTCCTCTGCAAACACAGGAACAGCCCAACTCCTGCAGGCTAGCAGGAGGCTCCTAGGGTGGTCCTCTTCCCGGGTGTGGCTTCAGCAAAGACAGAGGACTGAGCTCTCTCTGGGCCTGGGAAGGAAAAGCACCATGTGGTGTGAAGCAGGGTTGGAACAGAAGGATTTGAAATGACTAGAGGCTGAGGCAGGAGGATGGAAGGTTTGAGGTCAGCTCCTGCAATTTAAGGCCCTAAGCAACTCAGCAAGATCCTATCTCAAGATAAAAAATTAAAAGAGGTGTAGATGGTTATGTGCCCCTGGGTTCAATCTCCAGTACCAAAAAAAGAAGAAGAATTTGAAATCATTAAAGGGAAGGTATGCACGCCCGTGGGCATGGCAGAGCACAGCTGATCCATTGCCAAAGAGATTTCCATGTTCCCTAATCACTGTCTTCCCTATCTTCTCTCCTCTATACCAAGTCCTGTTTTCAGCATCTTATAGTTCTTACCAGAAGGAAATTGTTCTTCATGTCTCACTTAAATCTCCCATTTCATAGTGGATTGCCTCCAAGAAGAAATTCTGAGCACAGCTAAATCTTCAAGATGACAAGTCCATTATCAGTAACAGGGCAAGGCTCAGCAGGGAGGAAGGAGGTCCTGAACCTCAGAGATAAGGGACAGTGAGTCTAGTAGAATTTTGCTTCCAGTCAAGCAGGTGACTCAATTTGATTTTATGTATTTAGCCCAAGAAATATATATGGATCCCCACTATGTGACAGGTATTGTACTAGGGGCTCAGAAGGAACTCAATCCTTTTTGCCTGCTGTTAGCTCCATTCCAATGGGAGGTGAGACAGACAAAAACAGATAAATCATGCCATTGAGAAATAAAAAGAATGACAAGACAGAAGATGAATGGTGAAGGGAAGTACTGCTCTATCTGAGGAGGTCAGGGAGAGCTATGCCGGGAGATGATGTTTGAGCTCAGATCTGATGATAAGAAGCCAGCCATGTAGAGTTCAAGGGAATAGCATTCCAAGGGAAAGGAAGAGTTGATGCAAATGCCCTGGGGTAGGAATAATGTCAACATGTTTGTGGAAGAAAGTGATTCAGGCTGAAATCAGAGACACCCCCCGCCCCCACCGCAAGGCTGGTGCATGTAGGGTCTTGTAGACCACATTACACAGTAGTTTAGATTTTGTTTTAGGGACAACGGAAGCCATTTAAGCAAGGGAGTGATGCAATTTGATCTTCAGAAAGATCACTCTCATGGCTAGGAGGAGAGTGGATCACGGAGAGGCCAGAGTGGGAAGCAGGGAGACTTCGTAAAAGCCTATTGCATTAATCCAAGCAGGAGAGAGATTGGCTTGGCCATCAGTGGTAACAGTGGAGGTAGGGAGAGGTGGACACAGGGTTCTGGAACCACAGTCAGCTGAACTTGGGTAAACTGAGGGAAAACGATCAGGTTGAGAATGTGTTTTAAAATGGTAAGGTCCCAAGGAGGACCAGGGCTTGGAAGGAAAGCCCGGAGTTTGTTTCTGAGCATGTCAAGGTTGAAATGCCCACGGGTGACCCAGGGGGAGATAACCTGTCCGGAGGCAGTTGGAATGTCCTGAATTGGGGGAAGGTTTCCCAGGTGCCAAGGACACAGAGCTTGCTTTGGAGCTGATGGTCCAGCTCAGGAGACGGAACCTGGTGGGGAGAACCTGCTCTGCGCTCCGTTCCCCACATTTCTGCCCATGAACCCTCAAAACCTGACCTTGATTTGGGAAGAATTGGCCCCCACCTCCTCGGGGCTCCTTGTGTCAAAGTCATACAACTTCTTTCAGCTCAGAAACCTCGTGATTCCGCAAGACTTGGCCCTGAGCCACCTGGGAATAAAGGCAGAGTCTCATTCCAGGGATAATCTGCAACCTCTTTGACCACGGAGTCAAGGATGGGGTCAAATATGCTTCCTTGTTTTAAGCATTGGTACAATTCCCCTCTGACAATGTGTGGAAGGGTGGTCATCTTTCACTCAGCTGTTTCTACAGGAGAAAGAAATCTGTGCAAAAGCACATCAAGAGGAGAGGGAGGGCTGCAGCCTTAGGGAGACATATGAGTGGCAGGAGGGCCCAAGCATCCCTCACCTGCTAGAGTGTACCCCATCTGCGTCCTTTGTCATTGCCATGAGCCAACAAGTGGCTCCCCCATCCCTTCATGGCCAGTCCTGTCAGCCGCCTGGACCTTGAAGCCACAAAGAAGTCCCCAAAGAACTCAGGTGCTCCCACATCACAGGACCGCCCCAGTTAGCTAGCCAGGAGCCGCCACAAGACTGCCTGGGATTCAAGGGAGCAGAGGGGCCTCTCGGGACATTGTTTTCTTCATCTGCAAATTCAGGTTAGCTCTGGCACCACATTGTCCAACAAGATGGCCATCCACTTCACGTGGCTTCTTACATAGACATGAATGAAAAGTAAATAACATTTTAAAGATTCACATCCTTGGTCTCACTAGACACATTTCAAGTTCTCAGGAATGCAGCTTGTGGCTCCCGTTTGGGACAGCACCTCCATCATCTTAGAAAGCCCCATTACACAAGGACGCTTCTGAACAAAATATAGTTCCCCAAATATAGTCCCAGGAGCTGCAGTGCAGCATCACCTGGGAACACTGTAGAAATGCAAATTCTCAAGCGCCCCCCCCCACCCCAGACCTCCCAAATGAGAACTCTGAGATGGGGCTTAGCAAGCCTTCCAGGTGGTTCTGATGCACACTGAAGTTTGAAGAACAAGGCTCCAGTCTGGAATAGTGGACTCACCCATCATCTCCCTTGATCTCATTCTGCTTTTCTAGGGTAACAATAACCACGACTCATTTTACACCTGAAGAAACAAATCCAGAGATCACAAGCCTGGGAAAATGCAACCTAGAACTCTGGCCCCTGGACCTTTCCCTGGTTTCTCCCCCACCCCATCATCATAGTCCTCTGGACTCTTTCCAGACTGAAGATCAAACTGAGGCAGCTGTGCACCTTGTGCAGTACTGGAACGCTAGTGCACTGTGGAAGAGCCCCCTGGGTACTGAGGAAGTCAGGGTGATGGTGATGGGCAATCTCTCCCATGGCCACTGGGTTCACTGGAGAATTTCTCATGCATGTGGCATATGGTTGAGAACCCAGATCCGTGTGCCCTTTACAGAGGAGAAAAACAAAACTCAGAGTGGAAGAGAGGCTTGCCCGTTCTCTGCAGCCCGGGCTTGACTGTCAGGACTGGAATCCAGGTGCTGAGAGTAGAGGTCAAGAACCCGAGGGACAGCTGGGCATGGTGGTGCCCATGTGTAATTCCAGCAGCTTGGGAGGCTGATGGTGAGTTTGAGGCCAGCCTCAGCAACTGAGTAAGGCCCTAAGCAATTTAGTGAGACCCTGTCTCTAAATAAAATATTTTTTAAAGGCTGGGGATATGACTCAGTAGTTAAGTGTCCCTGGATTCAAACCCTGATATCAAAAAAAAAAAAAAAAAACCCAACTTAGAGACAGACCCTTGTTCTGTCCTTTTCTAGCTGGGTGACCCAGGCAAGTGATATAACTGCTGCAAAACCTCTGTTTCCTCTGCTTGGAAAGTCAGAGTAACAGTCCAGGTCTGCTGGAGGGATTAAAGAAGCTTATGCCTGTAAAGTGTCTGACGCATCCTAAGCACCCAAGTCATTTTTATATTGTCATGCCAGACACCGAGAAGTTGTCCTACTTTTTAAATTCTTTTTCTGTTCAGTAGAACCTGACTTTTCTGTCTATTCTTTGGCCCCAAGTTTTCCTGGAGCTCTTTGTCCTGGATTTCTCTGACTGTGTGAGCAGCTGCTTGGGTTCTCCGAGCCGGCTTGGGAATCAAAGAGACAGGGGTGGCCCCGGTACAAGGTGTCATCAAAGGAGTAATATTTGTGCACTGACAGCATCTCTGGTTTCCTGGGAACTGCCCGCAGATCTGGGTAAATCTGATCAGGATTTTCTGCAAGGAGAGTTTTTATCCAATATGGTGACAATTCTGAGCAGGAATTAGATGTAAGAGGTTGTCAAACCAGGAGTAAGAGCTAAGTAACCTTGTGAGGTGCCGAACGCAGAATGGACGTGAATTCTAGTCTCACTTTGCCGCATTGGGTCTCCTGATCTTGCACAATTGGCTTGGTCTCTCTGGCCTCTGTGGTTCCATCTGTGAGAAGGGGGGTAAAGTTCCCAGGGACGTGAGCACAAGTCCGTCCCCACTGTTCTCTGGACTCTTGGAGCCTCGTCTCTCTCCTCTTGGGACATATTCTGGTATTGTTCTTCCCAGGGGAAGTCAGACACTACCAGCCTGTCTTCTTTTCTCCCCCCACCCCTCCCACTCCCCAAGAGCCTCAGATTCACACTCTGCCGTCTGACTCAGCCCTCCATCCGTTCCCTGCCTGCCCGGGTGCTATCCCCCCCTCAGTTCCTGCTGATGCGTCTTCTCTAACTTGATTCTATTTTTCTCTCTCACTCTCTCTTCCCTCCCACCACCCCCTCCCCAAAAACACCCCCCTGGCCTTGCCCTCCTTCTTCCTGCCTCCCTGCAGCGGTGGGAATCCAAATGAAGGTGGAATTCCTCCAGCGCCAGTTCTGGGCAGCCACAGAGCAGGTAGGTGACCGCTCCTGGCCAGGTCAGGGATAGACGACACAACCAGCTCTCCGTGAGGCATGGCTCTGCCTCTCACCCGCCACCTGCACCCTTGCTCAGCCCCGTCAGGAGCCACCATGGGGTGTCTCCCGGATCCTTCCTTCTCTGCTCCCTGCGGCTCCCCCCTGTGCAGGCCAGGCCTCCACCTCTGGGCCCTCCTCACCCCAGGGCTCTCTCCCAGGGCAGACCATGGCACCCTCTGCTGCCCCAGAGCCTCACAGCCCTGCCCACCCTGCGCTGTCCTCCTCCCTCCCAAGGCCCAGACCCACTGCTGTCCAGGCCCCTGAGAAGCCAGGTGCCTGCTGGCCCTGCTCCCCATCTGCCCTCCCCTCTGCCCTCAGAGCGCCTGGCCTCAGCCTCTCTGGGCTCCCCAGTTGGCCTTTACATATTCCTCCCGTGTGAGGCTCCTCTGCTCCCCACTCACTGGCTGCTGTGTGCCCACCTTGGGCAAGTTTGGGGAGAGCCACCCAGGGACCCAGGGCCACATGGAGCCATCCCAGGAGGCTTCCAGCAATGCCACCCACCCTCTCCCCTCACCAAGCACAGGAGGCCTGTGGGCTGCAGGGGCCAAGGCCACCTGAGAAGAGCCTGCCCGCTGGCCTGGGCAGCTGCCAGCCAGCAAGGGTCTGCTACTCAGTGCCACACACCTACCACACACACCTACCACACACACACACACACACACACACACACACACACCTACCCCCCCCACACACACACCTACCACACACACACACACCTACCACACACACACACCTACCACACACACGCCACTCGTAGACCCTCTACATGCAATAAACACACCACACACAGCATGCACCACATGTATACCACACACGCATGCTCTCCCACACCCCACACAAACGTAGACCCTTCATATACAACACACATGCCACACACACACACACACACACACACACACATATACACACACAGTATCGTACAGACACACATATGATGCATACATAGCACACGTATACCACACACAGCATGCTCATATACACACACACGTAGACCCTCCACATAATCCACATACTGTATACACACACACCTCACAATAAACACCATACATGGACATACACACACACACACACACACACACACACAAGTATCCTATAGACACACTTCTACCTCTCCCTATATAGCCACACACCACAAATGAACCATATACAATATTCACAAACATACCTATCATGCACACACACACACACACACACACACAGTTGTTTGCCACTTAATAGTTTCTCTTCTTCCTTCCAGTGCAGTGCTGTGGGTGAGCCATGCCCAAAGAGCTGCGGGGACAGTGTAAGTTCTTCCCAGGTGGAGAGGGTGGGGTGGGAGCTGTGGCCCTCCCCAGGTGCCCTCCATCGGCTGGCTTCCCTCTGGCCCGAGTGCCCTCCTTCCTTCCCAGCAGTGCTGGGCTTCAAAGGGGTGATCTTTTCATCCAACACGGAACCAGCCTTCCCAAACCTAGAGGACGGGCAGGAGAGGAGGTCTGTGACAGGGTCGGCCTTGACCTCCCTTCCCGACTGCCCCCAGGACCTGGACTGCTTCGTGGTGGACAACAATGGCTTCATTCTGATCTCGGAGAGGTCGCAGGAGGTGGGTTGCTGGGGAGCTAGACCTGGGGAGAAAGGGCGGGAGGAGGAATCAAGACCACGAGTAGCCGCCTCAGCCCAAGAGAGGGCCAGGGACCCTGCCTCTGAGGGAACTGGGTGTAGGGTCTGAGGGGCAGGGTTCTCCTGAGCCCAGCGTCAACACAGTGAGATCACAACACTCGGAACACCTCCCACTCGGGTGGTCAGAGCAAATATCACTTCTTTATTTCTTCTGTAACTCACCTCCATTGGTTAGGAGTGTTGCCACCACACAGGTGAGACAGCTCATAAATAAACCACTCGGGGCCTGCCGGGCGGCACTGCACCATGTTTTCTTTTTTCAGTTGTGGATGGTCACGGTATCTTTATTTTATTTCTTTATTCTTTATGAGGCGCTGAGGAGCGAACCCAGTGCCTCACATGTGCTGGGTGAGCGCTTTCCCGCTGACCCACACCCCAGCCCATGCACCACGTTTCCTGAGGTCCTCCATCCACAGTTCTAAGCAGCCATCTGCTCAGCATCTCAATCCCCCATCCCTCCTCCACCCTCTCCACCACATGGCCCCAGAAGGACTGGGCCTCCCCACCCTGCATTTCCTCTCCTTTCTGGACTTCCTTTCTAGAAAATTCTATTCTAGACATCAAACCTGACCCTTACAGGGGAAGCAAGGAAATGGGCGAGATCCTTTCTTACCCAGCAGCCTGCCTGGCACCCCTCAATCCTCCCTGTGGCCGTGGACCACTCCCTGGACCCTGCAGGCGTTCACAAAGGCATATTTGCTGAGCCCCAAATTGGGTCCCCAAATTAAATATTTATTTATTCAGGAATCAAACTGAAAAAGAAGCCTATTCAAACCTGAACCAAATCTGAATATATTCACCTGAAGTATTTCCTTGAACCAAGCCCAGAAGTATCCGAATGACCTCTAACGGAACCTCAGTGGAAGGGATATGGTGTTTGGTTCAGCACGGGGTTTGCCACTTATTCAAAACATGATTTGGGCAAGTAACTTCCATTATTTGCGCCTCAGTTTCCCCCTCGGAAAAATCAGGGTAATGCCTATGGTCCTCTGGAGGCTGATTCTGGGTGCTGGGTACTGGCAGAGCTGCAGGAATTGGAGATGTTGCTGACCCGGGTTAGGGCTGAGGCCATCTCTCTGCCCCTCGAGGCAGCGGTCTGGCCCCACTGGAAGGGGGCTGAAGCCCAAAGAGGGTGTCAGGATATGGCAGGAACCAGAGCCAGAGCATCCGAAGGAGGCTGAGAAAAGTGGCAACTGGGGAAGAGGAGAAGCCCAAGGGTCTTGGAATCTGATTCCTTAAGGATAGTTTTTAAATGGCCTTCAGCAGCAAGAGTAGTCCAGAGAAATGCAGTTTCCTTGGCTTTCCCCTGCCTGGGCTGGGGCTGGGCCCATGAAAGGGTTGCTTCGCAGGACCCCTGCTGCTCACTAGCCATTGAAGTCCCCTGGCCACCTCCCTCTGCCTGCCCTTCTTTCCCCTTTTCCTTTTCATGCCTCTTTTTGGCCACGGGGCTCTTCCGTGGCCTGAGCACCAGTCCTTCTTAGTATTTCCCACTTGCTCTGACAGAAAAATGGGTGGTGACAGAAGTCAAAACCAAGTGGTTAGAACCAGGCTCGGGACCATCTGACGCCCTCAGTCATTCATGTTCTGCTCCCTGCTGCCTGGGCAATCCAGAGCGGCCCTGTAGGTTCCGTGGTACTGGCTTTCGAGGGCCCGAGGACCAAGCCTGGGCCTAAAGAGTTTCAGAGGGTGAAGCCAAGCTGGGACGTTGGGGTGGAAGGGTGGCGAGAACAGGAGAGGAGGGCCACGTCGTCGCAGAGACTGTGCTCGGCCAGTGACGTTCTCTGTAAAGGGACAGATAGTTCACGTTTGGGGACCACTCAGCTCCGCTCGCGCAGGGAGACAGGAGCCACAGGCAGCGAGTAACAAATGAATGTGGCGTGGTTCCAATAAAATCTTATCCTAGACGTTGAAAATCAAATTTCACATAATTTCCATGTGTCATGAAATGTTATTAATCTTTTGATTTTTTTTAAGAACCATTGAAAATAAACCATTCTTAGATCAAGGACCCACAGAAGCCAGCAGTGAGCCAAGTTTGTCCCTCGGGCCCTCATAGGCCAACCCCTGATCTAGAGGCTCTGAAGAGGACACTGCCCAACCCTGGGCCCACCTCAAGAGATGCTGGCAAGGGCATAGACGCTTGCACAGCTGCTGTTCCCCCAAGGTTGATAGCCTGAAGCCCTCTCAGCTCGGGGCCATGCAAGTCCCTCCACAGGGCAGCTTACCCAGCAGAGCAGCCCCTGTATTCAGAGCAACAAGCAGATGAGCCTGATGGTGGGGCGGGGGAGGGTTGCAACAGGGGAGCCACTGGCCTTTGAAACATGATCTCAGAAATGACATCCCATCACTCTCCCATCTTCTCTTAGCTAGAAGTCAGTTGTGAAGCCCAGGGTACACTCAACCTCATGGACAGGCGTAACTACCAGGAAGCTGGGGTCACTGTGAACCATTTCAGAATCTTCCACCACAGACTCCTCCCCCTACCAAACCTGCCCCTCCCCCCAAACACAAACAAGCCCCTCCTGGATTCACCCCCTCCTCCCCACTCCTCCCCACTTATCCCTAGAAGACAGTGCCTCAATGGCTGGGGGCTTGCCTGAGGGCCCCACCCCAGACCCTTGTCCCTGCCAAGGTCCATCAGGGGCTTGGGGAGCTAAGCCTGTTGCTGCTTTAGGTGCAAAAGTCCTTCCTAAAGTCCTGCCTAGCCCTTCCTCCTCCTGGGTGCTCCTGTCCCAGGGCAGCCATCTGCAGTCTGCCGACCAGCCCAGGGGAGTGACTCGAGGCTCTCTCCTGTTCCTGGTGGAGTCCAGGCCCGCTATCGGGAGGCCTCTCCAGGCTCAGGGCTCATTCTTTTTTTAAAGGACCAGGAATGACAGGATTACAGCCCTCACTTTGGAGCCTAGAGACAGAGGCACATGACTGGGCCAGGGGAGTGCCAGGGGCTCTGTGAAGTATCATAATGCTTCCAGCGATCTGTCACCAGGGCCTGGGGACTCAGATTCCTATCATTTGTTTGCCAACCACACTCATCCACAGAGCTTTCAAAATGGTCCTCACAGGGCAACAAAGTCTAGACAATGGGATGCTTCATTCCAGCACCTTCCCCTGAGGGACCTGGATTCTCAGAGGCACTGTGCTCTCCTCCCTCCCTCCCTGGCACCTTCTGCCACCACAGAGGTGCCTGTCCCGGGCCTGGGCTCCCCCTCTCCTTCCCTGTTCCACAGTCCCCCCCACTGCCCCTGAGTCTTTGGGGCTCCCCTGTACTCAGCAGCAGCCCCCCACACACACACACACACCCTACCCCCAGCTTCCCAAATGGCCCTGCCCCTCTGAGTGCTTCAGAAGTAAAACCCTGCCACCTCCCGACTAGGCAGAGGCAGGCTCTCTGGTGACCCAAGGCAGTTATCAAGGGACTCTAAAGCTCAGCTCAGCTGCCAGATGAGGAAGGGAGTGAAGGACAAAAATCCCTGTGGAAGCCAGGCACAGTAGTTTCACATGCGGTGACACATCTGACCCTCACACCCCTTAAGAGGATACTTGTCCCCATTTTTGAAGAAGAAACTGAGGCTGTCCCTGGGTATAAGGAGGACATGTGGCATTTTTTCCATTCTATCACTAGAGTTGAGACTACCCTTTCTCCCTGGGGACAGGGGACATATGAGCAACAGCCTCTCACGACAGGGAAATTAGCCCAGGTCCAGGGGCAACCACCCAACCAGCAGGAATCTAATTAGTTCTGCTTCTTTGCTGCCTAGAGCCCATCTGCTTCCTGCTCCAGGTTCCTGGGTGGTACCTCAAAGGACCTCACCTCCCTCCCTACCTCCCTCCGAGACTCACTGCAGACTTAAAACTCAGGGAGCCCCAGGCCCTTTAGATGCATCAGCCCGTGGACTATGACTTTTGCATGTGTTACCCTCCCGGGAAAGAGGCACCACTGGGCAACCAGACCCCTCTACAGGGTTGTGCTGTGGGTGCAGCTCCATATTCCACCCCAAGTCCTGAATTGCAAGGTACCCAAAGCCAAGTGGCACTAATCCACTCCAACAAAAATGAAAAGAAAACTACCAGTTAGGAAGTGTGTTCTGCAGTCAAGAATAGAGTCCCCACTGCAGTGCCTTAGGCAAAGCACTGGTTGATTCTTCTCAGAAGACTCAATAAAGCTCCTAGCATGGCTTCCAGGAGTCCCCAGCTGTCTCCACCCTCAAGAGGACAACATTGCTAGGGAAGGTACAGTCTTCTAGTCCATTTCCCAGACAAAGGGGAGTATAACTGGGGGGTTGGGTCAGTGGGGGGCGGTGCCTCTCTACAGAGTCCTCTCCCTTTAAGTGGATTCCGGAAGTCCTTCTTGTGACTGCTCATGTTCCATTGGCCAGACCTCAGTGCAGGGGCTTCTGGGAAATGTAGTTCTTTTAGCTGAGCACATAGCTAGCATTGTTAAAGTCAGGCTACCTTACTAAATAAGGAGGAGAGAATGGACACCTTCTGCTGAATGACATATTCTGGGAAACAGAATTGTTTATTTGCAGAGATACATTTTTTCCAATGTCCAGGATACATTGGTCAGAGACCTGGCTTCTCAGGAAAAAAAATGTTTGAACAACTGGTTACTGATGAATAAGCCTTGAATTAGGAAAGAGACTAAAATTACAGGCTTGTAGTGATTTTGGCCAGCCTCATCAGGAGCCTGGTGTCCACCCCACTGCCCTGTCCCAGGAAGCAGGAGACACAGGTCATTCATTCATTCCCTCTCATTCCTTCAGCAAATATGGATAATAAACATAAAGCCCCTGCAGGCTGGGGAGGGAGGTCAGAGGTGGGTCTCTGCCCCTAGGATCTTGCTGTCCAGTGATGGAGGTTCGATGCATACACAAACCCCGCTGAGAGGACACTCAGGCTGGAGGGATCAGGAAGAACTTCAGCTGGCCTTACTGCTGGATCTTGAAGAGCAGCAGGATTTGGATGGCTCTTGCCTTTCCATGTGTTTGTCCCTGGAATTCCCTTGATTCCTCTCTGCTGTCCCCTGCTTTATCCACTTCCTCTTCAGTGATGCCTGTCCTCGTCAGGCCTCCTAATCTGAACAAAAGGACACTCACTTGTTTATACCACTACCACCACCGGAGGCACTGGTCATCAGCTGTCCTGTGTGACAGCGAATGTGCCCTTGTCTGTCCAAACTGGTCTGTGCTCTTGGTTATTGTCCCTTTCTTTCATTTTTGCATTGTACCCCCCTGATGAGTAAGCATCTTGTGACTGAAAGGTGGTCAGGCATTCAGGCCAAGAGACAGCAGAGCTCAGGCAAGTCTTTGCCTCCAGCTCTAGTTTTTCTCCTGTTTGCTTCTGTCATTAACCTGTCAGTTTCTGAGATCATGATTTTGGCATTCATTTTCAGTGGCTTGTATCATTACATTTTAAGTGAGCTATTTCCAAACAAAGAATACCATAGAAACTGGGTACGGCAGCACATACCTGTAGTCTCCCCAATTTGGGAGGCTGAGGCAGGAGGATCGCAAGTTCAAGGCCAGCCAGGGTAACTAAATGAGACCCTGTCCCAAAATTAAAAAAAAAAAAAAAAATTAAATGGCTGGAACAGTAGCTCAGTGGGAGAGTACCTGGCTTCAATACCCAGTACCAAAAAAAAAAAAAAAAGAAAGAAAGAAAGAAGAAAGAGAATAAAGAAAAAAGAGGGGAAGAAGAAAGGAAGGAAGGAGGGAAGGAAGAAAGGCAGGTAAGCAGGCTGGCTGGCTGTAGGATACAAGGGCTATATTTTCTTATTTATTTCCAATTTACAAAATGACATTTCCTGACCTTATCCCAGTTTTCAAAGTGGGCACATTTGCAGGCTAAACATTAAGAGCGTCCCTGAGGTTGTCATCCAATATGCAGCAGCAACTCTTATTTGGAAGAGAATCTCTCAGCTGAGCTGGTGCACAGGAGCCCTGCATTCCCACTGACCTTTGTTTCCAATCAATCTTGTTCTTAAGAAGGGTTACCGAGGCTCCCCAGCTATGCAGCGCAGGCCCTGCCTGGGTTCCTGGACAACACTGGCTCTCCTTGAGGTCATCCAGGCCCGAGCCCCCGATCTGTGCCAGGGTGGGGTTTCCTGGTATCAGGAGCCATAACACCTGTCACTGTTCTAGGTGTTTCCCAGAGTGTGCTGGCTACGGAGGGGATTCACAGAAGCAGGGACTCTAGGTGTGATGGGGGTCCTGCCACGGCCTGGCCTGCTCTCCTCCTCACTTCTCGCCCCTCCTTCAGTTGACCCGGTTTTCTCCTCCAAGCCATCTTCTGTCACCTCCAGCCAAAGTGTGACCCATGGAAGTGCTCCCCTCACAAAGGCCTGGGAAGGCCAGCCAGGCCCATGAGCCAAGAAAGCACTCTGCCAAGAACCTGCTGTGGCCATGGGCTCAGGCTCCCACCTCCCTTCCCTGCCCAAGTCCCACACTATGCCCAGGTACCAGGCACCGTGGGGAACTCAGAGACATACACCCTGACCCCAAACAGCTTTCCATGCAAAGGAGGCCTAAGACGACCGGATATACCCCAGGCAGGGTGACAACAGAACTAGGACATGCAGCCACATGTTGCTGAAGTGCTTCTCAGAGGAGGAAGAGGAGGAAAGTTCCTTGATAAGAGGACTGAGAAAGGGTAATTGAGGCAGAGACAACGGCCCACTGGGCACACCCCCGTTCATGTAATGACAGCTGCCCCTCACTGTGAGCCACCGGATGGCACACATTATTCCCAGTCTCAACCTGAATTCCAATCAAATCCAAGGCCAGCCACCAAGCTCTTTCCGCCCCGCCATGCTGAGAAGAGCAGAATCCAGAGGCCAGAGAAGGCTGGAGCCAGGCACTGGGGGTGGGTTTGGAGGGGAGGGGCAAGCCTGGCTTCTCAACTGAAGCCCCGGGGCTTTGCTGCCCTGGGGGGTGCTGCGGGCCGCTGTCATGGGTGCCCCCCAGACAAGGTTGATTGTGAAAAGGAGAGAGGGAAAGGAGAGGGGAGGATCCCTCCCTCCCTTCTTTCCTTCCTAGATAATGGAGAGTGTGACAAAACCCAGGTGGTGTCTGAGGAGACTGTTCTGGCAGCACACTGGGGACTGGGAGAGGGCACAGTCAGGGTAGAGGGGGCGGGCAGCTCAGAGAGGACCAGGGTCAGGGTAGGCTGTGTCTAGGGAGTCCAGAAATGAATGACAAGCTGGGTCCGGTGGCACCTGCCTGTAATCCCAGCAGCTTAGGAGGCTGAGGCAGGAGGATCCTGAGTTCAAAGCCAGCCTCAGCAACAGGGATGCACTAGGCAATTCAGTGAGGCCCTGTCTCTAAATAAATAAAATACAAACTAGGGCTGGGGATGTGGCTCAGTGGGCTTGCTCATCTGCTTGCTCTCTTTCTCTCCTCTCTCTCTCTCTCTCTCTCCCTCACAGACGGGAAGATTTCTGGGGGAGGTGGACGGCGCTGTCATGACCCAGCTGCTCAACATGGGGGCGTTCAACCAGTAAGTGGGGCACAGAGCTGATGTTCAGCAAACCAGCCAGATCTTGGCATCTGAACTCCCAAACCCTCAATGACAGCTCCAAAGAGCCCAGAAGGAATTTTTCAGGATCCAGGGGCTCAACATGAGGCAGAGAGGGGGATATGGCCACGTGGACCAGCCCCAGCTCAGCACTAGAGGGAAAGCCACCCAGCTAAAGGAGCAAGCCACGGGCTGCTCTTTTCTTGACGCCATTTAAAGTGCAAAAGCAGCGTTTCAGAACGTGCCCCCAGTCCATGTCTGCTGTCCTAACTCAGGCACCGTCATGGATCCTGGTGAACGCAAGCTCTTCTACGAGGCCCATCCCACCCCACCCCCAGCAGGGGCAGGGCGTGGCAGGGGTTCTTGGCCTCCGTCCACCTTGGTTCTGATTTTCAGGGTGACTATGTATGACTACCAGGCCATGTGCAAGCTTCCGGATCACCACCACAGCGCAGCCCAGCCCCTGGCCAGCGTGAGTGACCTTCTCTCCCCCACATGTACATCCTCTGCCTTGTCCTCCAAAGAGGTCACCTGGACACTGTTCCCACCCAGCTGCAGGCCATCAGGCCCCAGGGCTGACTCTTTCCCCCCCCCCCGTCCCCCTTTTGGTACCAAGGATTGGACCCAGGGGTCCTTACCCACTGAGCTACGTCCCCAGCCTTTTTTATATATTTTATTTAGAGACAGGGTCTGTCCCCCACCTCAATGCCCAGTGCTCCACAAAAATCTTCAGGGATCCTTGGTGAACGAGCCCATCAGGGTGAGAACTTGACCAGCCGTATGGAAGGCCACTTCTAACCCTGCCAGAGATGTCTGACCCACAAAAGGCATGGCCCACAGAAGTCAGCTTTGGGATGCTTCCTCTGCAGGGGCGGGGGGTGTCGGTCAGGAGGGTGCTGAGGCAGCCGCCCATCTGGTCCAAGGGCAGCTGAGAGGAACAAGAGCTCTCCCCTTGGACCTGCTGCAAAAGGTGTGTCCTTTCTCTCCCCGACTCCAGCCAATCTCTGCCCTCCTGATTGCAACCAAGTGGCTGATGAGTGAGCTCTTGCTGTGAGTGGGGCTGGAGGTGGGGGCTGTGGCTCATGAGGGAGTCCTGTGAGCAAGAGGCTGCTCGGGAGGTGAAGGAGGGCGGGCCCGGGTGTGCATGGCCTCCCCTCACTCAGGCTGCTCCTGGCAGGACCTCTGCTCACCCATGGCCCTCTGCCCTCTCAGGGACCAGGAGGGGAGGGTGGGCAGGTCCCCCAGACTCAGCTTTGTGTCTGGCAGGCTCCTGCTGGAGTGGAGTGCCTGGGGCTCCTGGTATGACAGAATGGCAGAGGGTGAGTACCGGGGTAGGACGGCGTAGCAGGTGGGTTTGGGTCGGCTCCTTGGACGCCTTGGGCCGTGGGTGGGTGAGAGGGCGCGGCTCTAAGGCGTTGTCCTTCATCATTTCATCTCGTCTGGCCTTCTCTCATCGTCTCCCCTCACCCCTGGGTCCCTCACCTCTCTGTGTGACACCACATCATCCTGGGACACCACCCCTCCATGTGACATCATCACCACCCTGTGACATCCTGCCCTCGTGTGACGTCATGCCCTGTGCTGTGCCATGTCCACCCTGTGCCGGGCCCACACCCCGGGCAGCCAAAACCGTCTTCCATCACTGTAAGTAGCCTCATCTGGGCAGATCCTGGCGGCCACTTGGGCTGGGGAGCGGAGGAGGGCCTGCCCTCAATCCTACACCCCAGGAGCCATCCCCAGGGGGGCTGAGTGCTCTTCATCCTGGGACGCCCCTGACTCGGGGACCCCAAGTCCCTGATCCAGTTGCAGCCACCATTCCTGGGGACCCAGATGTCATCCCACAGAGCATGGTCCTGCCGCAGGGAACATTAGAGACTCCAGGAGGAGGAGAGGGTGTGGTCCAGGGGCCCTGACCAAGTGCAGCTGGGCGGCCACCAGGTCTCCCCGGGCACTCCAGCCCAGGGTCCATCAGCCCTCGGCAGTGCTCTGGGTTCCAGAGAGTGGTCACCAGGAGGCCCTGAGGATGACACCCTTCCCACGACTGTCTGAGGACAGAGTCCCCCAGAGGCAGTGGCAGGGTGAGAGGGTCCTGACAGAGTGAGGAAGAGCCTCTCTCACCTGGTTTGAGGCTCACCACGGCCCAGGACAGGAGGAGCCCAGCTTGAATGTGAGAGCAGACAGATGTGCTGCCCCTCGGGGGGCTCAGAGCTCCCCCCACCACACAAGGCCACCTCCTGTTAGCAGGATTCGCTCCACTTGTCCGTGTTAAAAGGACCTTTTCCAGGGGGCTCTGGAACTTCCCTGTTGCCTGGGCAGCTCCTCAGCCCGGCCCCGTCTCTTTCTCAACGTTAAGCTTCATGACAAGGAATCATGTCCACGGCTGTCCTCTCTCTGGTTTGCTCTGCCCTCTCCCTTTCCTGCTGCCCCCTGGGGCTGGCTGCCTTTGGCCCAGGAGGTGACCTCTGACCTGGGGTCACATTTCCACGTCCCCCTGCCATGTTTCCAGGCCTCTTTAGGAGGCCCCAGGCACACTCATAACAGGACTGCTTGGGGACAGTCACTTGACATGGGTGACAGGAGCCAGGAACCGTGTATCACAGCCCATTTAGGAACGGCTCCCTCTTCTCTCTGCCAGGAACAGAGGACCTCATTATGGGGTGGGGACGCAACCTCTGTCATCTGGCAAGCTGAGGACCGTCCCTTCCTTTGCTTGCTCAGAGCTTCACTTCTTCAGGACAGCTCTTCCCGGAGCCCAAGGCCCCAGCCAGGAGTAATGTGACCTTGGGGAAGCCGCCCAGCCCTTTTATTATTGTGGCTGTGAGCAGTGTTATCACTGACACACTTCACCCACCAGAGTGGCTCAGGTGACAGGCAGACAGGCCCAGCGCTGAGTCAGCACCCCGCAGGAGGAGAAGAGTCAGGTCCGGAGACTTCCAGGGCCACCCAGCTCCCTCCTTGGAGGGTCAGCTCGGGAAGGAGCCTGAGCGGATGTTTCCGGTCCCTGAGGACTGCTCCTTGCCCACTGGCCCTGCCTCTTGGCTTCAAAGTCTGGAGGGAACTTCTGGGTCCAGGAGTTAGGGAGACCAACGGCCCTCCTGCTAACCCTTAGTAGGAGCCCCTGTCCCAGCTCCACCTGTGTCCACCCACCTGCCCCACCTGTTCCACCCCTAGTCTGAGAAGCAAAGGAAATGCCTGTGACGGAGAAATAGGAGTGCTGCTTCCAGCCCCGGGCCTGCGCAGGCCTGCCCTGCTCTCCGCCCCTCTGCGGGAGCTGCCTGGTCTCCAGGGCCCCTGTCTTGTCTCAGTGAACTCAGGGACTTCACACTCACCTGATAGCCACCAAGGAGCCCCAATATCCGGGAGCTGGGCCTCCAGGCTCAGGTGGCCTTGGGTGCAGAGATCTGTCCCTCCCTTCACTGCTCAGTAGTAGGAGCTGGGGCCTGGTGGCAGGGGTGGGCCGGCAGGGCCTGGCCTGTCTAAGAGCTGCCCTGGCATGGCGTTTTAGCTACCTGAGAGTTGGACACAGGTGTGTCCACAGGGGAGGGGTCAGGTCCCAGAGTGAAGGGACCACAATCCACCCACCAAGCCACCCCTCCTGTTTCGCCTCGCCTCGTGAAGGAGGGTGGGGCCCGGGTGTATATGGCCTCCCCTCACTCAGGCTGCCCCTAGCAGGACCTCTGCTCACCCAGGGCCCTCCAGCAGGGACGGGGGAGGGTGCCTGGAGGAGAGAGGATGCAAGAACAAGGGTGCACCGGGTCCCTCTCAGGAACCTTTGAGATGGGGCACTTCCCACCCCCAGCTTATGATGAGGATGTAGGCTTCCAAAGAGAGAATATGGCTTCCTCAGGGTCAGGAGCTAGTGTGACACTCATGCCCGAGTTCCACGGTCCCCGACACCCAGGCTGCTTCAGTTATTCTCTGCTCTCCCCACCTCCCCGTCCCGCACAGTCCAGAGACCTTTGTAACCAGAGAGCATCTGCCATGGACCAGGAGCAGGGGGCTCACTGTGGGTGCTAAGGCCCTCAGGAGGCTGTGGGGCCCTTCCTCATAGAGGCACCTCTGTCCACTGCAGCCCACAAGCATAAGAAGCAGGAGCTGCTGCATCCCTGCGACACAGAGTACCCCGTGTTTGTGCACCAGACAGCCATTCAGGAGACCAACGGCATCATCGAGTGTGGGGCCTGCCAGAAGTAAGACCCCCCTGGGCAGCTTGACCTGTCCCCAGCTCCCACTCCTGGCAAGATAGCCCCCACCTGAGGCCCCACAGCCAGGATTCCACAGCCTCCCTCAGTGACCTCTGCCATCTCCATCCCTTCCGCTGAGGCACAGGTCAGCCCACAGCGGGGCCACGCACTCAACGCCACAGATCTGAGAAAAGAAGCAACAGATAAACCTAGGTCTGCCCTAGAATATGTCTGGTGCAAAGAAGAGGGTCCTAGACCCGCCTTCCCACTGCTGTTCCTGTCTGTGGTCTGTCCTACCCCCAGGCCAGCGCCTCCGGGCAGGAGCCCCTCAGTCTTGCTCCAGGGTCAAGACCCCTAGATCCCACCAGCCCTGGCCCAAGAAGGCAGAGAGGCCACCGGAAGGGTGGGTTTTCTGTTCCCAAACCCCAGAGGACCCCCCACACACACACCCCCAGGGAGTTCTGCCCTGGGCTGGGAGGAATGGCCTCCTCCAGGCTGTTCTCTCAGCCAGACTTCCTGTTCCCCGGGACCGCCAGGCTGTCCCTTAGACAGCCAGACCCAAGCTAACTATTGCAGTGTAAAGCCTCGCATGTCGGCCTCTGACAAATCCAGTCTCCATCTCTTCCTACGACGTGATGTGAGGCAAGATTTTGACCACACAAAGCAGTTTTCTTGGAACTATTTCTGTTTTGTGCATTTATCTCAAAGCCTTGCTGTAGGGACAGAGTCGATGGGTATGTGTCAAGCAAGTGCTTTCCAGTAGACAGACTTGAGTTTAAAAACTGGCTCTGCCACACCCTCGCTGTGAAACCTTGGGAAAATCACTTCTCCTAGGCTCCATTTTGTCCTCTACCACACAGGGCCATACCAACCTCACAGAGGGCTCTGAAGTCTAAGCGTAGACATATGTGTGTAGACGCCTGTACAAACAGATGTGTCTGTGTGACATCACCCGGCCCCTGGGAATCGCTCAGTGAATGGCAGCTGTCCTTGTTATGTAACGCCCTGGGACCTTGTGCCCGCCTGGCTTTCCCAGTCATTCCCCTGGGTCCTCAGACCTCCTGAGCTGTGCGGTGGCATTGTGCCACCTAGTGGCCCATCCTTGTACTGCACTTCCCCGTACACCCCCGAGCAAGAGTCGCCCTACAGCCCAATCTGCTCAGGAGCATCCTAGTGTCCCTGCAAACATTAACAACTCCTTCCTCACCTTCTCCATCTTCTAGAAAAGGACAGATGTAACTTTGTAAGTCAGTAGGGCTGGGTCATTGGTCCCGGGCTATTCCGCCCAGGATCCAACGTGTATTTCTGCCCCTCCCCCTGTGCCCCTACTTTCACACTCCGAGCCTCCAGTTCTCTCCTCAGAGACCTTCTCGTGGTGGCTGCCGTGCCTGCCTGGGGAAGCCCTTGACCTCCGCCCCCTCTTTGCTGCAGGATATTTGTGATGCAGCAGATTCCCAAGACCAACCTGCTCCTGCTGGTGACAGATCCCACCTGCGACTGCAGTGTCTTCCCGCCAGTCCTGCAGAAGGCCACAGAAGTCAAATATATCCTTCCCATCCTCCAGGATATGTGGGAGGGGAGGGTGGGCTCCGATGTCACTGAGGGCTCCGATTTTGAGGGCTGAGGCCAGCCTTCCTTCCTCCCCTATCCTTGGAAGCTGGCTCCACCAGGGGCAGGTTCTTCTAGGGGTTCAGAGCGGTTGACCTTGACCTTGTGAGTTCTATACATAATGCCTCTGTCAAGTGCGACAGGATGCGCTCTCAGAAGCCCCGCCGGAGACCCGATTCCTGCCATGCCTTTCATCCAGAGGTGCGAGGCTGGGTGGGCTGTGGCAGGGGTCTTGGTCTTGGTTCCACATTCTCTGCCAAGTGCGTGTGCCCTTGTAAATGCCGGCATATCTGGACACTGATGAATACAACTGAACATGTGCATCTCACTGGGAAGTGTTCTTACCTGTGCATTCATATTTATATCCTGTGAAATGGGGACACCACAAGGGGGTCTTTGTACAGTTCCTGGCACAGAACTCCTAAAACCCCTGTAACTTCCTGGGTGACATGAGAGAGAAGGACATCTTTTGTTACAACACTTGGCCTAAGTCCCTGGGTTCCTGACACCATGCTTCTAAGACCTTTGGAATAAGAGTGATTTGTGTTCTACTGAGATGACCGGTGTCTGGGACCCCTAGGCCCAGCATGGGGCCTGGTCACCAGAAAGACCCAGGCCTATTAGAGAGTGGGGACTTCAGCCGCATCCCCTGACTTCTGGGCAAGGGATAGGGATTGGAGATGGAGTTGCCACCAGTGGCCAATGACTTCATCGATTATGCTACATAAGGAATCCACCTTGAAACCCCTCAGCAACAGGGTCGGGAGACCTGACCTCAGCTTCCAGTGAGTGTGCAGCCTCTACTTTCCCCCTGAAAGGTCTAAGAAAGATGGCGGCTTTACTTTCTGAAACTTCCTTCTCTCTCAAGATTTGACCCCCTTTAGTCCCAGAGACCCCTGCCCATCCTTGCCCCTCTGGATGGGAAGGTGCCTCTGCTGTAGATGCCGCCCTCTCACCTCTGCTCTGGGTTCACAGGAGAACGCTCAGGACTGTGGCGGCGCCTCGGACACGTCGGCCTGGCTCCCCCTGCTCCTGCTGCCTCTGGGTGCCTGGGTGCTGCCACCTCAGCTTCTGCGGTGACACTCACTGCAAGGGGATCCTTCCAGAGACATTCTAAGAAGTCAGCCTCTGGTGTGGGACGCAGTTCACTACAGCTGGGTTACCTCCCGGGCCTGTGCTCATCCTGCTTCCAGAGATTGCTGGAAGAACAAGGGAACAAAGCCCCAGACGCCATTTTCCAAAGACCCTCCAGGGTGCCTGGTACGGTTCACCCAGGCTCTGTGGGCATCCTGCTATGCTTCATCTCTTCTCTTCAGGAGTCCAGCATGAGCCGGACTTAGACCAAGACAAAAGAGTTAGTTCCACCTATTCTGCAGATCAGACCTGTTTCTAATGAAGCAGGCTGATCTTCAGAACCCACGGACCTACAGGTGCTGAGCAGGAGGAGCCGAGTGAGGCCAAGGGCAGGGAGGAGACTGAGGCAAGAGCATGCCTGGCTGAAAAGGAGGATGGAGCATTTCCTAGATGCTGCTGGTGTGTGTGTGTGTGTGAGAGAGAGAGAGAGAGAGAGGGGGAGGGGGGAATAGTAAAAAGAAAGACCAAGAACAGGATAGGAATATGTATCAAACCCTTTTAGGAAACTATCAACATGCCTGTGTGTGATGTCTTCAGACTGTTGCTGCTGGAGAACTTGTGAAAAATTTGTTTGCTTGTTTGTTTCTTTTTAAAAATTCCTAGCTAAAGGAAATTTTGCAGCTAATAAAAAGTCAGGCTGGACGCAGAGCCACATGCCTGTAATCCTAGCGGCTTGGGAGGATGAGGCAGGAGGATTGCAAGCTCGAGACCAAACTCAGCAACTTAGCAAGGCCCTAAAGACTCAGAGAGACTCTGCCTCAAAATAAAACATTTAAAAAGGAGTTGGGGATGTGACTCTGTGGTAAAGTGTCCCTGTATTCAATTCCAGGTACAAATAAAGTAAAATACAACAGGCTGAGCTCTGCAGCTGCTGCATGGGACAATGATGTACTTGTAGGGGTGGAGGCAGGAATTGGGGCCACCAAACTGAGGTCTCAGTGTGACCCACAGACCTTCACAGAGGCATGGTGAGATATCTCCTGAGCATCAACTCCAGAATCCCCATGAGGTCCAGGTCCTGGTCATGGGCATCTGCTGGCCAGGGATCTACAAAAAAAATTACTTGATTTTGTCCCAAATCCTCGAAGGTGGAACTTTGGGGAACATTTCAGTGTACAAAGCAGAGTCCACTGGTAAGGTAGCTACATCTGGAAACACCCCTCACACACAGTTATACACCCATCTCTCCCCAGGGTCCCGACATCTTGGAGCTTCCTCTACTCCAAATCTGAATCCCAAGAGATAGCAGACTTTGTTGTTGTTTTAATATTTTTTAGTTGTAAATGGACACAATACTTTTATTTTATTTATTTACTTTTATGTGGTGCTGAGGATTGAACCCAGTGCCCCATACGTGTGAGGCAAGTGCTCTGCTGCTGAGCCACAACCCCAGCCCAAGGCAGCAGACTTTGTTGTAGGAGCAATAATACGAGCAGAACCCATGTAGAAATTCTGGGGTGCCTCAGATCCTTGAAGTTAAAATAATCTCAGATGAGAAGGCCCGGCCCAGCCCCACAAGAATTGGTGTGGCTTACACACAGGAACTCAGAGGTCACTTCTTCCCTATCCTCTACAACCCTCAGCTGGCCCAGTTTCCCACCAGCAAACAGCTCCAGTTTCCCTCTAAGGCAGGCCAACTCCATGTGTTCATTAGAACGTTTGAAAGTGCCTTACATTATAGACTGTCACAGTGTTACTCTGTCATTTAAGTCTCACACCAATCCTGTGAGGAAGGGATCAATTTCCCATTTACAGCTAAAGTCACTGATGTTTGCAGAAGACAGTTTAAGTGGCAGGAAAGTATTAGCAATGGTTACGATTTACATGTACCAGGAAAATAACATGCATTTACTCATTTACTCCTTGCAGCACCCTTTGAAGTCGGTAACATGTTTACCCCATCTTATAGATGAGGAACTGGGGTTTAGAGAGCTGAAAACTGGCTCCAAATTATTGGAAGATCAAATGTAATACACTCATGTAATTTGCCTAATTATCAACTTCGTTTTTCTTGGAGGCGGGGACAAAGAGATTACATCCTGGAAACCAGGAATAATGGCCAAAGGTCATAGGTGCCCACCTGGCCCATGTGGGCTAGGAACAGCAGGGAGCCCTCTCTCCCACCATGGCGATGCCACAGCTGAGTGCCTCCCTACATCATGAAGACCTAACTGTGGCAGGCGTGGCAAGATGAGCATCTCCTGGGCCAGCCACTCCCTGCTGTGGCCCATGACCACAGACACCGCCTCCAGCCTCTCCCCAGGACAGTGTTGTCCAGTGCTGTCTTCAGAAGGGCTTGTCTTCCCACCCAACCAGGGTAAGTATTTTCAGGCAAATTTATCAACTATCTTGGCAACAGAGTGAAAAACACAAGCAGAAGGAGTGCTGGCCTTCCTCTGGGTCCCTCGTCTCTATACAGCCAAGGGTGGCCTGTGAGATCTGGAACCCTCTCCGAACCCGTGAAATCACTTCTGATTAACCAGCACTGCTCTTCTATAGACGCCTCTGAAGGTCAGGGCTGTTCTTCCTCTTTCCACATTTAACAGAACCATGAAGGGACAGCAGGTGGCAGTCTGGCTCACACAGCAGAACTGTCAACTTGACTTCAGAGGAGCTAAGTTGGCACCTCAGTCATTAACAGGGGTACAAAATCTTGGCATCTCTTGTCAGTGCTGTACACCTTTGTTCGGCTGAGAAGAGCTCAAGGCTGCTGTCAGACTCCCCTTCCTCAGTACCAGGAATACACTGACTGCTAAATCCACCTAACAAGTGTGTGTGTGTGTGTGTTTTAATAACAGGGCTTTCAATAAAACACTTCAACAACCACTTTGTGATGCCAAGTGAAGTTTTGACTCGGGAAGGTTAAGGGAGTGGCATATCTTTAGGTCAAGAAAATTCTAGCACTATGTATGCATGTACGGACATATAAGTATGGGGGTGGCCGGGGCTCAAAGACCACAAAAGGAAGGATTGGAGCCAGGGTTTGGCAGAATCACCGTGGGGAATGAATGTTATCACTAAGAGCAGCAGCATCTCAGGGAAGGATGCAAAGTTCTCTTGAAAGGTGAGAAAACAGAGGCTAGGGAGGTAAAAATTTCTTGCCCACATGACATGGCAAATGGCAGAACAGGGACTAAGCCTGCCACTGTTCATTTCTAGGCTAGCATGAAGGGGCAATGGCAGGGTACAGTCCAAAGCTACTTGAGCATGCAGTCTAATTCCCGGCCCCATGATTCCCACTCCCAGATCCAGACCATGCCAAGCAGCAGCAAAGAATGAACCACACTAGCCTTGTTTTCAAGTCAAACAGTTGAGGACAGAAAGCTCAGAAGGTCAAGTGCTAACATGTTTTTGCTCATGCATAAGTTAGGGCAAAGAAAAAGAAGAAGGGGGCAGGGGCGTGGCGAAAAAGTTTCTCATGAAAATTGAACAGATATCAGTAGAGGAAAGGAACCAGGGAGGGATAAGGGCTCGTAAAGGGGAAATATCAGGTAACAATATTGGCTAAATTCTAGCGCTATGTCCGCATGTACGGAGTGTCACAATGAATGCCACCATTATGTACAATCATGATGCACCAAAATAGAAAAAAACAGTTGAAGGCATGGAAGTGGTGAGTGAACAGCCTATGCCCCTTGTGCCCCATGTGGGAATAAGGAAATGCAATATACTGCATAAAACGGTGCAAAGTATTCAAGAAAAGGATGTTTCCAGGGTAAGTTTGAAGGAACATTGTCCACAGGCTTCTCTCGGGCACTCAGAGCCCTGGCACTCCATCAAATCAAAATTCAGATTTGTCCTCATCTATCTACAATATGCACAGGACATCACCTGAGAAATGGAAAGCACACAGACAGCCAGAGACCAGGAAAAACCAAAGCAGGCTTTCTGTGGGCCTGTTTAGTTTTTGTCAGGAATCGAACACAGTCCCGACCTACATCTGGATAACCCACGGGAAAACCTTAAGTTGTAACTAGAGTCTATAAGTGAGAATTCAACATGAAAATATCCAAGTACTGGAAATTCCCCAGCAAATACTAACTTACCTAAGGCAAGAAGGTTGAGATTTCCTAACCTTAAATGAGATCAGGTTAACCAACCCCCAAAGCTTCAATATACCAGTTTTAACAGTCTGATATAACAGATTCAACTGCAGACAAGAGACAATTTTCTCCTTAAAATTTTCTTTCACTTTTTCTCTGGTGAACACTTCTGGCATCAGTCAGAAAAACTTGTAGGTTTCAGGTTCCTCAAGTATAAAATGAACATGACTAGCCCATAGGGTTGTTAGAGGGTTTAGATTGAAAAGGGCCCCCAAAGGTCGACTGCTAGACTTGGGTCTCCAGGGATGGTAGAAAATAAAAATGGGGCCTAGTTGGAAGAGGTGCGTCTCTGAAGGGTATATTCTGTCCCTCTCTGCTTTGTTTCACTGCACCTCCCCACCAGGATGCTCTGCCTCACCAGAGACCAGGAGACAACAGAGCCAAGAGACCACAAATTGAAACCTCTCAGTGAGCCAAAATAAATCTTCTTTTCCTTTGACTTTCTCAGATATTTTGTCAAGCAACCAAAAGCTGACGAGATACAGGATAAGATTATGAGAAAATTCTTTAACACAACTCATGGCCTAGTGTTCATTATATTAGGTTCTTGTTGCTTTTTTCTTGGGTAGTGCTGCAGTTCAAACCCAGGGCCACATTCATGCTAGTTAACATGGTCCACATCCCAAGCCCCTAGGGTATTGTTTTTATAAACTTCCAACAATAAATCAAGAACTGCTTCTTAGAGTTAGCCTTCCTCTCTGTTCTAAACATGGTCCAAGTTAAATGAAAGTCAGGAAAAGCAAGCAGGGCACAAGCACACTTATTTGTGTATTTACGATGGGAAGTTTCTAAAACTTCCTAAACTTCAGTGTCTGAATTAAGGCTTCAAGGATATGCCAAAAGCTAAAGGAAGTAAGATGAAAAAATAGCAACAAAAATACAACAAAAGTTCATTTTCCATTTGGCTCTTTTTATTAGAGAAATTGAGAATACAGCAAGTAGGGAAATCCCATGGTGAGTGGAACCATCACAGATACCTTTCTGGAACCCCAACCTTCTATGATCCCCAAAAATGTGCTTTGTGGCTTCAGCGATTTGTAAGGGGGAGGGGAAAATACTGAAAAAGGCCACTATTTAATGGTGAAAGAATGAAGCTGTAGAGGTCCTAAACAGCCCAGGGCCAAAAAAGAAAATTAAAAATCTGCACAGAGCAAGCCAGCCTCTGACTGCTGAGAGTAAGGCATTCAGGCGCCAACCTGGTGAGTTCTCAGCGGGCACTGTAGGTCAAGTGCACATAGAGGCTATTGGTAGTGAGCTGCACGTGGACACACACACACAAGTGGGCATACACATACCCACACACATACACACCCAAAAGAGGGAGAGTTGACTGGATTACACATTGGTGGTGTTGGTTTCATGTTCCCTAAGGGTTTGTGCTATGTTGAACCAGAATCTTCCTGCTTTGGGGTGTGGGGTGACTGGGCCCAAAGACTGCTACTTCTCTGGGTGTTGTTACAGGGCTGCATCTCATACCCCTATACCCCAAAGCGCATGACCAAAGAGCAAGTCTGGCTTCTGATATGTGCTGTTGCTCCCAGGAAA